ATCCAAAAATTACCAAATAACAAATAATTGATCCAAAAATCAAGCCTGTTGGATGTCTATCAGAATAGTCAAAACACTGCAGGATGAAATTTGAAGTTAGAGAGGCTCGTTGGCGATTAAGGATATGAATTACTTGAATGTTGAAGATGAATGTTGGAGAGGACTGATGATTGTGCATGAGAATTGTTGTCATTGGAAAGTGCTTGTGGGTGGCTGTCAAACATCATGGTGAGAAAGACGAAGAAGATGGTGGCTTCAGGCGTGACTGAAAAATGACCCAGGAGAGGGAAGGAGGGATGAATAGTGGCTCGAAGTTACTGTTCACGTGAGAACATAGTGTATGGTTACTGTTTACTTGAGGTTAGGGTTAATTTGGTGGATGGTTTAGATTATAGATGGATATAAGATGGACGGTTAGATGACAATTCACATGGCCCTATATAGGATTTGCAACTCACATGCCAAAATAACGATTCACATGCCAAAAAGATATCTCACAGAACATATTCGTTTCTCAAATTCATAAGTTATAAATCATCATCTACCTTCTCTCATGAGAACTATTGATATTTATAATAAAAGAAAATTAAATCCTAAAAGATAAAATGAAATAATTCTCAAACTGAAACCTTATCAAAACTAATCCTAAATATAATAGCAAATAATCTCTGAAGTGAAATATTATCCAAACACAACTGAAAATCAATCTAATTATCTAACTAACAGATAAAATTTCATCTAAACGATCTGCAGTCCTGATTCCTATCACATAAGGTGGTTGATTAGAAATGGTGTAATTATTTTAGGTTCGACTATAGGGCAATAAGGGCCACCATACCTTGTAGCTCAAATGAGAATGTTGAGATGGATAAGTAGAAAATGATAAAATAGGATAAAGTAGTTCAATTGTAACCAACTGTAATAAGTTAATAACTTCACATGAAGATGAAATGAGAAATAAACCATTAAGATGATTTGTAAGAGCATGTGCAGCAAATACTATCAAGTTAAGCATTGTTAATATATAGTTAGTAGAGGAATAAGGAGCAAGTGACCTAAATGAAAATCGATCGGGACGGTTAAAGTGGATATCCCCTATCGTGTAGCTAGTAGTCTTAAAGAGTCATACCCAGAAACAAGAGGAAACAGGATTATGCAGCAACACTAATATGGGATGAAGGTTTTTTTTCTTAGGTAGATAACTAATTATAAGTGGTTGGAGGCTTCGGGGGGGGGGGGTAAAAACTGTATGCAGACGGATACTAGTTGTTGAGCACATTGGCTTAAGATGGACAAATGGTTAATATGGACACTCCAGATTCAAAAAATGATTAGGCATGAGATATAATTATAAGTTGGAATGTGTAAATTTTCATATGTTATTTTGATGTAAGTTTTATATGAGGTGAAAATGCCCGGATGAATTTTAGATTTCATGTAAACAAGGTTTTAAATGTCGGATGTCGGGTTCATGTCGGATGGCTGAAATCCATGTCGGATAGCGGAAATCGGGGATATATAGGGGGACATTGACTAAATATCGGATTGTCATATCGGGTAGTGTGCATATGTATAATATCATGTCCTAAATGTAATCTAAGCATTTATAAATTCAATATAAACATACTTTATAAATTTTATAGACTAAACATATAAAAAAGTAAATAATATATAGATTTGGGTTCATAATTCTTTCTATTGGGTTCATAAGAAACCCTTAAACATGAGAACGGGTCAAACAGGTTTGGGTATTTATCACTAAACCCAAACCCGATAACAAAAAACAGATCTTAAAAAAAAAACCATATCAGCCGATTTTTTAAAGCTAAAAAATAAGCCGATATGCTCGATATGACCCTGATATTTCCGATTTGGCCCTGAAAACCGACATACGAGTTGAAAACGTTCATGTCGTGTCGGTCAAGCCCTCAAACCGATATGTCGGCCGACATGTCCGACATGTCGGCCAATATTTAAAACCTTGCATGTAAAACATGAGCCACTTTAACATTTCATACTAGAGGTGATGAGCGTAGAAAATTTTAAGATTTGAGATGTCATATGAGAGGTAACGGGTCACTATAAATCATATGAGAGGTGATGATGTGGATACTGGATAGTATATAAGACACAACATGTAATCATTTAAGAGGAGGAAAGTAGAATATGCAAACAACGGAAATGAGGCATATAAATGAGGGGGAGCAAGAACCACGTCAGAGGAAGATAGACATGCAATATGCAGTCAACTAAAGGATGTACACATGTGAAAGATAGTGATAGACGCAGACAGCTTAGCTATTGACACGCGTTTTCTTTTTTATCCTTCATTTGATGCATCAGCGGCGGTTAGCTACTGTGTGCTTCCATCTTTTCTTTATTCTTATTATAACCTTGCCCTTGTTTTCTTCACTATCAATATTGCTAAGGAAATTAAAATGATAAGGGATAGCGAGGTGACTATGGGTGCAAAAATATATCCGTATCTGGGGTTTTATTAGTATCCGTTAGGATATGGATGTGGTTACTAAATATCTATATCCGATTGGATATGGTTATGAATATGGTGGATCTGTAATAAAATATCCGATCCATATTTGGAATATCTGAATATATGTTGATCGTATGGTTGCAATTGTTTTAGTCCTTAGATTAATGGATTTGAGGTTGATTTTGATGATCAAGAGGTCTAATCTTAGCTTTTTAGATATAATGAACATATTAATGAGCTTTCTCGTATCACATGGACTATATTCTTTTTCAAATATGGTTTTCTCATGTCTGTTTTGTATGCGCATTTATATCCGCATGTATATTTGTATCCATATTCGATTTCAACAGAAATGGGTATGAGTTTTCTACCTAGGCACATCCGTACTTCGTATCCGTGATTTGTAAGGTGATACGGATAGGATAAGTATCATATCCGAGCCGCTGTATCTGAACCGTTTGCACCCCTAAAGGTGACAATTGTAGAAAGAGAGAGCTTGAAAAAAAATAGAGGTGAGGTTTGAGGTGAAAAGATTCCTGTAAAGATTAGTGTAATTTCATTTCCAGATATGCGATGAAGTTCCCTTTTTCTCCTTCTCCTGTTGTCGCATTTGAATTTTGCTTTTCAGTGCACAGTTAGTTTTTCAAGTGCAGGGCACATTCAGAGAATTTGATGTGGCCCCTTCCCCATGGTTTCCCTATTTAGAGCTAGTATCTGAATAGTACTTCTAAAATTCAAAGCACGAGTTGGGATATATATGAAAATGGTTTATGACTTAGTTGATTTTTCAGCTAAACTATTGATAGTAAACTTCGATCCAAAACATAAAACGTGGCACTTTGGGATGACATTTATTAGAATGTGATTAGAGATTGGTGGTTATGACTCAAAACATGTAGTGTCAGTATTTTTGTCAAGGTATATGTCTCTCTAGAATATGATAGAGATTATTTTGCCCCGTTGAGTCACAACAGCATAAAGGGATTACCAAACTGCAAAAATAACTTATTATCCACTTCCAGAGAGATTTAAGAATTCTTCTTAACAACGTGAATGTTTCTAAAACTTAATTTTCCCAAAGATGTGCTTTGGTGATGAATGACATTATGAGCATTATGCATAATCAGATTCCACAAAGAGCAGCAGATGGGAGGATTCTGAAAGTAATGCATATGATTGTCGTGGCTTTCTTAATCATGCTGGAGACACATGACATCCAATAGTATGGTTCCAATTTATTGTGTCATCACTCCTTAGCCGAACTGCAAGATGCAGAATTATACGAACTGCAAATATGGAGCTTCTTTATGAGTTCTCGTCCAGTGCGGATGAAAGAGTAGACATAACATTTTCTTAAGAGACAAGACACGATTGATACCAAGATATGCTTTTACTCTTATTATGTGTGTTTTTCAACACCTTTGGCCAAGATGGGCCTCAGTCACTACAGATGGTATCAGAGCCCACGTGAATGTGAAAAATGTCTTAGAGTTGATGCTAGTTCTCCTGTAGCAAATTTTGCCTCCCTTCAGACTCTTTCGTACTCTAGGAAGATTTTGGGGGGTTGTTTTTTTAGTTGCACAACGGATTGGTCAAATATGATAATTTATCCTTCAATTGTTATTGGATGTATGGAAATTGATTCTTCATTCAATATTATTATATTGGTCTAAATTTTGACAAGTAAGTGGGTTTGTTTCAGGCTGTGGTTGGACATTTTGCAGAAAATTTTCTATGAACTTTTTTGCTTCATTTATGTCTCCAATTTTTTAATGACAACAAGAGCAAGACTTGTAGGAAATAATTCTTTTGCAAATGAATCCACTTCATGTTGAGAACATTCTTTTGTAAATTCTGGGGCTCAGATTTGAATATCAGGACAAACGAAAAGAAACAATTTCTGGTTTGTATACACATTTACACATTTGTTTTGTTGTCGTTGTTGTTGTTATTGCTTCCATCTTCTGCAGAGCGTACTACCAAAGAAAGAAAATTTGAATCTTCTTACTTGGGCCATGGTAAACATTCTCAGAAAAGGAAAATGAACCACTTACAGTTCAATGTTATGGTCACCAACATCAGTTTGACCCTAGTTTTTTGCCATCAAGTGTCTCCTATCTATGTGACAGACAGCTGCTGGTTGACCTTTTGCTCATCAGATTTCCTGTTCATTGCCATTCCCTGTTCTACTTCTATATGCCCCCAAACAGAATTTTGAACTACTTTATTATATGTCCATATTGCTGCATCAAGTATCTCCAACATCAGTTTGATCATAGGTTTTAGTCATCAAGTATCTCCGGCCTATGTGACTGCTAACTGCTGGTTGACCTTTTACTCATCAGATTACCTGTCCATTGCCCTTCCTTGTTCCATATGTCCCTAAACCGAATCTTGAACTACTTAAGTATACGTCCATACTTCTGCATAGAATATTTTCTCTCTATGGTCTATCACTTTTTTTAACATATAACTCAATTTTCCAGAACTAAACAAATTAATGTTTCAGTGAAGTGCGAGTAGAAGGATTGGAGACACTGGATTATTTGGACAACTTGCAGGAAAAAGAGCGATTCACAGAACAAGGAGACGCCATAACATTTGAATCAGAAGTGAGTAACTGTGCATATAGAATTATCTTGTTATCTTTGTATGTTTGATTATCTATTTTCATGATTATATAAGGTGGACAAAATTTACTTGAGCACGCCTTCAAAGATCGCAATTATTGACCATGAAAAGAAGCGAACATTTGTCTTACGTAAAGATGGACTTCCTGATGCTGGTGAGATTTCGTATTTGCAATATTATATTTTTGTTCCTTTATCTTCGACAAAACTCTTCATTGAGAGAAATGAGGAATTTGGTCTGATGTATCTCTAATCTTTCATATTAAGTTTGTTATAATCCATTGTAGTTGTTTGGAATCCTTGGGACAAGAAGGCTAAAGCCATGTCAGATTTTGGGGATGATGAGTATAAGCATATGTTGTGCGTAGAAGCTGCGGTTGTTGAGAAACCCATAACGTTGAAGCCTGGTGAGGAATGGAAAGGAAGGCTGGAGCTTTCTGCAGTTCCTTCCAGTTACTGTAGTGGTCAGTTGGATCCACAAAAGGTTCTTCAAGCTTCAAGTTGAAATAAAATGCCTATCGGCAGCATCCTGTACAGGTGGGAGATTTTCAAAATTTTCAAATTCACATTAAAAATTATGTTGGCCTTTCTTCGTCAAAAATGTATTTAATGATTTATGTTATAGAATAATTATATATCTTAGTTAACATATGTGCCTTGTGTTCTTTCTCATCAGTTAAGAAGTTCCTTTGATTAATGATTCCAGGTGGATATAATGATCTTTTTGTTTCTGCAGGCATCTTTTATTTGCTGAAATGATGCTTGGCCGGGACGAGTTTCTTAATAATTCCTTAGTCCTTTCAACTTCCCATAAATGCCAGTTCTGAAGCAGAAGTTCCATGGAATAATAATACCTCTGTATGTGAGTGTGCATTTCAAATCTCACATGAAGAAAGAATTTCCTTGGAGAATGTATCAGAGGGTTTACTGTAAAGATATGGATGAAAAACTTGTTTGATATTTCTGTATTATAAACTCAGTTTCCTCTGAGACTTGTAGACCCCAGTTTATCCAGAATGGAACAGTATATTGTGGTTCGAGTTCTGTTGGAAGCTCTTGTCGATTGTGATCTCATTATATGGTAGGTTTATGTCCATACTTGCTTCAGCTGTGATATCTTAAAGCTCAATTTCTCTGCTGTGATGTGATGAAGCTATTTTTCTTCTCTTCAAATTTTCAGCCTGTTTGCTTCAGGCGTGATTATAATAAAGCTCAAGTTTAATAATCTATCAACTCCTGTAGTTTCTACTATGAAAATCAAAGAAATGGTTCAGCATCACGAGGAGGACCTGGGATCCGATGGTCATGATGTCAACATATGGGCAAATGGCATGCATAAATGGAAGCCGTAAGAGAAGAATTTGAAAAATGTAATAATAGAAAGAAGGGATTATTAATGCTAATTGTAGGGAGTTTTAAGGACAAAGTACACTTGCGCTGATTAGTGGCAGTGCTCAAATAGTCAGATTCATACAGTAGTTCCTCCTACGTGCTTTTACTATAGCCAAACCTAATCAAGCAATCATGAATTAAGCTAGAAGTTGCGCATTAAAACTTTTTTTTTTTAAAAAAACAACTCCCGAGATAAAGAGTACAACCCTGAATGTCCTTGGACCCAATCATGAATTGATGTCGATCTCCCAAGTCGTTGGAGATGTAGATAGAGACAACGTTAGTTGTATGAGCAGCACCATCTCACTCTTTGTGCACACCTCCCATGAATCTAGAACATACAACTAGAACTAGAAAAGAACCCACGTTGACTTTCGTCAGTACCAAATCCCAAACCTCCCTAACTCTCAAGAACTCCCCTTTTCTGCGTGGGCTCCAATCCTAAGCTCCCATCCCGAAAATAGAAATGAAAAGGGTGCGGCTATTATACACACATCACACGGAGCCCCCGAACAAATGATAATAACTCAACTAAACTCGCGAGTAAGCCCCTCTCTCCTCTTCCCAAATAGGCAGGAGAAAAAAGAAAAAGACGAAATTGGAAAATAAAAAAAGAGGACCGAAATTAGAAAGCGAGAGGGGTTGTCGAAGAGAGAGAAAAGGGGGGAAACGAGAGAGAGAGAGAGAGAGAGAGAGAGACAGAGAGAGTATTTTTTTGCTCTGCTGCTTCGATCGATCCATCGCCTTCGTCATCCAATTCGACGGGATTCGAATCCAACTTCCAACTCCGAACTTCGAAAGGTCAGCTCAAACCCTTTCTTTTCTTTCTCGCTCTCGTTCTCTGTCTCGATTGGCGAGGAATTGCGAACACTCGAGCTTCGATCCCATTGAGATCCACCTTGCCCTGAGCGAATTCAGGATCGAAGATCGCTCGTTTCGATTCGGGAGCTTAATGAAAGCTCCCTCCAGCTCGGGATTCGCTTCTAGGGTTTTGATCGAATTCCCAAGGTTCGAGCTCGAGATCTTGGTTCTAGGGTTTTGATTTTTGAAACATGTGTTTTCGCCCTACATTGCCCTGGCCAAAGGGCAAAAGCTTTAGTCTTTGACAAAACCCGGAAACGAATTGTCTCAATTTACTTGATCTTACAAGAATTTTTTTTGGATTTTTTGTATGGCCGCTGTTTGATAAGAGAAATGAGCTCTCGAATCAATCTCGGGGATTTGAAGTCCCAGATAACTAAGCGGGTGGGTACAGATCGAGCTGAACGTTACTTCAGCTATTTGAATAGATTGCTTTCTCAGAAGTTAAGTAAGCCTGAATTCAACAAGCTCTGCCTTTTGACTCTCGGACAAGAGAACCTCCCATTACACAACCAGCTCATTCTCTCAATCTTTAAGAATGCTTGTGAGGCTAAAACCCCGCCTCCGTCCGCTGTTGATAAGAATGCTTTGAAATTGCCTCCATCGTTGGTGCCTGTTTTGCCCAATGGGGACCTCTCACCGCCATCGCCTAGAAGACCCCGAACTGGTGCACGGAGGATTAAAGATAGACCAAGCCCTCTTGGGCCCAATGGAATTAAAGCTCCTCATGATGAGGCTGTCTTCAGGGAGAATGGTGACTTGGGCTTGTGTGATTTGAAAAGACCGGTGCAGCATCAAGATGATAGGATGGCAGAGCAGCCAGCAAAGAGGTCCCGAATGGCAGAGGACCAGTCGCTGAGATTGGTCAATGTGGTTGATGTGGATGGGGAAAGAGAGGATTCTGATCAGAGGAATAATTTGAAGCCAGTGGCTAAAGGGCCCCTTCGGGCTCCTCTTGGTATCCCTTTCTGTCCTCCGAGTGTTGGAGGGGCTCGAAGACCTTTGAATTTGGCTACGAGCACAGGCCCTGTTAACTTCAATAGTAACTTTGGAAGTGGTGAATTGTGTCATACTGATGACTTGAGAAGACAGATGGAGAGAATAGCAGAAGCACAGGGCTTGACTGGCGTTACTGTGGAGGGTGCTAATTTATTGAATAATGCTTTGGATGCTTATTTGAAAAGACTGATTAAGTCATGTACTGAATTAGTGGGAGCGAGATCAGCGCGTGGACAAATGAAGCAGCCTGTCTACAAGCAGCATCCCCAAGTGAAGCCAATAAATGGTGTTTGGCAGGGAAATCACATGCATGTACAAAGTGGTGGCCTGCCTTTGAATGGTGTACATGAGCTAACGAACCGCCATTCTATATCTTTACAGGATTTTAGGGTGGCTATGGAACTAAGCCCGCAACAACTTGGGGAAGACTGGCCATTGCAACTTGAAAAGATTTCCCTATGTCCATTTGAAGAATAAGATAAGATCTAATCAAATGCTCTGATTCTGTTCAGCCAAAGGGCTGGTCAATGTGGGCCGACAATGGCAGAGGTCGTTCGATAAAAGATGTTCATTGGCAAAACTCGCTGGGGATTGACCAGCGAACTTTGGGAGATCCATGCTCTGACAAGGGCACATTCTTTTATACTGTCACACTATTCAAAGGAAAGAAGATTTTTTGCCCTGTTTGGTCCAGTCTGTTGTAGCCTCCATGAAGGGGGCATCTCCACTAGAATCAGATATCTGAGGTTTTATGTAATTTACAGCTAATCCGGGGAGTCTCCAACAATGACAGTTTTGCAGGAATACTTTCTTGTAACTTATACAGTTATGCTCTGTAGTTTCGCAGGTCACCAGTGTATGTATTATCAATTGCGAAATTGCTTGAATGATTTTAGTACCATCTTCATGGAAAGTTTCAGATAATTTTAATTTGAATTTTACAATTATTTGATTTCGCAAAGTTTTTGGTCCTTGCGGACTTGCTGCACTGTCATTTCTATATCTTTCTTTCTAGTGCTTTTCCACACCAACATTGATATTCTCCCTTTTGTTGGAGGTGTCGCAAGAAGCTTTTATGTGTGAGTAAATTATTGTAAGATATGCCATGTTCTCTTTTCTTCATCTTCTGATTATCATGGTCTTAAGTATATTTTTTTTCTTGTTTTTCCTTTGCTGACTTCATCTGGTAGTTTGAGAAACATAATTTTATATGTTTAGCGTTAGTTCCTTTGGAATTTGACAAAGAATGCCTCAGTGGCCTCCAAGACCATGTCTTAGTTTTTCTTACTTCTTTAAAAGAATATGTTTTTCCTATGGAATATATGAAGATATGACCTTGTTTTTTATTTTTCCTGTCTCCGGCTTCATGATACGCTGGGCTTCTTGTTCTTAGCATGCCTTGCTCTGTTAGTTAGCTATATTAGTTTGCAAAAATGATTTACTACTGAAAAATTGACTAGTAGTTTTATGTCATATTGCGAAGTCCTATATTCTTGATTCATCCTAGAGCAATATATAATATCCCCCTAATGTTTCATAGCCTAACATTTTAGTTATTCTCATTGCATGTAATTGTGATTAGTTTCCATTTTACTTGAACCATCCAATTAAATGCCAGAGTTAAAACTTCTTTTGTTAGTTGCATGTATCAATACGTACCATCGCTTTTATTTTGGCATGGAAATTAATTATAAAAGTCTCAGTTATTTGTATATTGATGCTGTAGTTACATACATGTGCATTCATTTATGTGCAGCAACATTACATGAATCTTTATTCTATATCTCAATTTGAAGAAAACTAAACCTCATGTCTCTCTATACAGACCTTCATGTCTAGTACTATTTACGAACCATGTTTGCTTATATATGTTTTGTTGCTAATGGATATATGACACACTTGGAAGAAGCCGGACGTTTCTTCCTTCTTAGTGCATATCCATGCAGACTGCTCTATATGTATTAAACTATCAATATATTATGGACATGTTTCTTTTTTTGCGCATGCATGTGCGAGTCTGCTTATTTGCATGTGTTTGTTTATATACATGAGAGTGTTCGCGTAAAAAAATGTTTGTTCATATGTATCTTGACTTTCCTCATTAGTTGCATATATCATATGTGTGTATATTTGTGCGGGTGCCTGCACGTGTCTATGCATGCATGTGTTTTTGTATCTGTTTGCAAATACTTCGTTTAGTGTCATTGAGCATACATTTCCCATTTCACTTTTTTGGTCATTCTTGTAAGGTATTGGCTTATTGAATTTAACTTGGCTTGTACATAACCTTTTTCGTCAGCATCTTCCCAATATTATGTGGATGTTATTAGCTCCTAGGGCTGCCTTTAGTTGATTCTCAAAAAGTACAAAGGAGTTGCATTTGGAGTCAGTATTTATATTCTGCTACTCTGTCCTTTAGTTTCCATGTATAATGCCTTTATTAAAAAAGACCTCCTATAGGTGAGGCTATCCACTGCTTCTACTAGATTTATTATATCTGTTGAGTTGATACTCGTAACTGACTTTTGCATACACAAACATCTTCACAGATAACCGCAAGCATATAATTTGCAATTTTTCAATGCAGATTATTTACTCACCATGAATTTTTTTGATTCTAGTGTCTGCCTGAGGATCTGCTTTTCTTATGCTAATGGCAGGCCAAAGTTGGTATAGAAGAAGCACCTCAATAAATTAGACACTACCTCAGGTTATATCAAACATCTCTGTTATATTACCAAGTTGTATCTTATACTGTGGTTCTCCAGGAGCTCTGCTGTATGTTTTTCTGCTCCATTAGAAATTTAGATTGTTTTAATTTGAATTGAAAAAAATGTTAAATATTTGAATTCTTTGAGTTTGTACATCATGATGTATCATGTATTCCGGTTCTGCTCCCTATGCGTTTTCTTTTTGTTGTTTCTCTTATTAACTTAAAATTTGATTTTTCTGCTAAGATGTTTCATTTGCCTATTAACCTTTATTAAATAGATTTTTTTCCTCCAGTCATACTAGGATCTATTGTTTGAATAGTTATTCACTTTGGTTGCTTTCTCTGTTTTTACTATTTCAAGAACCATACAAGGATCCCAGTCCTTGCCTGCTTGATAAAGCTTTCCTATCTGTCATCTAACAATAAAGCTTATCTGAGAAAGTATGGCAAATATTCAATCAATGGTGTAATTGGTATCTTCCTTGTGTGTTACTAGGGAGAGTGCGAAGACAAAGCACCTGTTCATATTCACACCATGTTTGGTTTATGATGACCTCTTAAAGGTTATGAAGCCTTTCCAGGCACCTAATGTCTGAGTTATGACATGAGCTATTGTTAAAAGGAGACTGGTGCAATTTTATTTTATTTTATTTTTCCATTGCAACACAAGCGTTCTCTCCCTTTTCCTCTAGTTTCTTTTATCGTGAATTTACTGGGTTGGTTTATAGAGATACTTCCTTTTTTTTTATATGTAGACTACAATTCTGAAATGTCATCACTTTTATCCTCCTGTGAGATTGTACACTGCTTCTTAGCGTATAGGAAAACACAACATATAAAATCTACTTCAGTCAAGTATATGATATTCTTCGTTGAGTAAATCAAGCAATCTAAATTTCTAGGCACCACGTAGAAACTATCTCATTCTTTTTCGGTAAGATTTTTTTTAGAGTAAGCTAGGAATATTTGTAGACTGGAAGTCTCTATGGGCCAGTATATCGGTTACAGTTTGTGTACTTTTTTTTTTCGTTTTCCTGGAACTCTTTAATTTGAGTTACTCTCCATGGTCAGTTCCATGTTCATGGGAAAAACCATGATATGCATAATCTTCCACTTTGTGTGATTCTAATATATTTTCTGTTGAAGTTATGCTACAAGTTTGAAAACAGTAACCTGTTTATGATTGTTTCAGGCCGATTGATTTTCTTTTACCTTGAGCAGAGTAATTCTTGGGAAAACGCTCAGGTATTTTTCTGGAAAGTTCATGAGTCTAGTGTGTCCATACCAGGGCATTTGCAGCTTTCTAAAAGGGATTATGCCTTATTAACAGTGAATTCAGTAACATGCTTCCTTCCATTGATCCTCTTATTTCTTTGTATTTTCTTGAAATCAATCCTACTCTATTAACTTGTTGGTTACATATGGTAGAATATTCTTCATTCTCACTGGATGTTTACATATAGTAGTGTTCATTCTTACTGGATATAGATATTTTACTTAATTCATTTGTGTGTGTGTGTAAAAGAGCAAATTAAAGATACATACTTGAGCCTTTTCCACCTTTTTTTTTGCCCCACAAAGGAAACTTTTCATAGCTAGTTACTGGTTGCTATAAAGAATGGGCAATTTCAAACAGTGTTTTCATGATCTTTTGGTTCGAACAAAATGTTTGCGACTATCAGGGAAGATACTTGCTAGAAATAATTTCTCACCAGAGCAATCATTGGGTTTCTGCCTCAAAGTCATCGAGTGTTAGGTGCTTAGGTTCCAAAAGAGACATGGTTGATGTTTTGGCGAAATCCTGCCTAATTCTTGTGTTCTCCCTTCCTTTCCTCTCCTCGATATTTTATTTCGAACTTGCCTACTTCAGCAGTCTCCTTGTACTTCGTCCCTGTCTCTACTGAAATGATAATTCTGGTGAGTAAACTTTGTAATTGGAACTTAACCTGCTTTTCTAGACAATGTGTTTAATGAACTTCTGAACCCTTGGAAATAGTTTTTTGGTGAAGCCTACTGTAGAGAAATAGAGAAGGCAAAGTTATTTATTCATCTAAACCTAACGTCTTTTAAATAGAGATTAAGAGGTTTACATGAACGGATATGGATATCGTCCCAATTAACCAAATACCTAAATAGTATATCATCTATCACTCCCCCTCATGCTAGAGCATATAGGTTATATATGACCAATTTGTTACATATGAGAACTTAAAACGACTATTTAAAAGAGTTTTCATCAAGTTTACTCTGTTTGGAGCACTTGAAGAACATAATATACCTGTATGCTTCATTTGAAGTAGCCGTCGAGCAAGAAATAGATCTCACAAAGTAACAACCCAAAAAGTATAATTATAACTCGAGCATAAGCCAAGAGCCAAAATAGTGTCAGACAAAGATCACAACCAAATCCTCATTTTAGTAACAAGTAGATAGTCAACCAACTAGAAATAGAAGACACTCAATATAGGAACATATTGATGCGAGAACAACCTAGACGGGTAAGCTAATAGAAACTAAGTGGGTAAGCCAGTAGAAACCCTCGGCGAGTCTACGTCCCCGCTCCCCACTCTCGAGGAGAAATCCACTACACACCCGGTTTGGAAGCCGGAACTTCGTCTACACAGCGATCCCACACGATCTCTCACTACACAGTTTGATCTCAACAGATCACACTCCCTCACAGTTGATCTACACAAGATCTCACTCACACAGCAGAAGAAAAGATGCAAGACTCTCTCTTTACACAGCCCCTATGGCAAAGAGAAAGATTACTGAAGCTGGGAAGTGAATCACACACAAAAACCACAGAGAAAACAGATTTGAAAATTTTCTCAGGAAGACAGCAGTCTCTCTGGTTTTTGCAAAACGTTGGGGCAGCTGGAAGAAGAAGAAGTCTAGGGTTTAAATAGAATATATTAATCAATTTAAAAACATAACCCAATCTTCCCATTTAAGAAAATAATCTTCTTTTCAGACCATTACCACAGACTGTGCCAAACACGGTTAAGTGTAAGCACAGCAAACGAGGCAATCGACCGTTTGAAAAAAGTCGCGGTTGACCGAAGGGAATTTCGGTCGTCTGTCAAAACGTTCGGTCGACCGAAATAAATAATTCGGTCGACCGACCGAAAATCCGGTCGACCGACAGAAAATTCGGTCGACCGCGATTTGCTTTGAAAACATAGAAAACAAGCAGAGCC